GGGACCTCCGAAGACCTCCGAGCACCTCCGAAGACCTCTAAGGTTAGGATCCTGGGCGGGAGCGGCCGATCGAGCCGCTCGTGCGACGGAGCAAGGCGGATCGAGCCCCGAGGACACGCCCAGGGAAGGGGAGGAGGAGGAGGAGGAGGAGGAGGAGGAGGAGGAGGAGGCGGAGGAGGAGGAGGAGGAGGCGGAGGAGGAGCAGGGAACAGCAGGCGGGAGCCTCGCAGGGGCCTTCGGGACCCAGTCGACTCGGGGGCACTGCGGAGAGAGAAGAGCACACGAGGGAGGGGACGAACGCCCGAGCGCCAGAGCCGTGCGTGCTCCGCGGGGGAGCCTGCCCGTGCCCCTCGTGGGCATGGCGTGGCGGCCGTGGCCCCACCAGGAAGGAACATGAGTTCGAGCATGCGACACGTATGCCGGTGCACGTGATTGAAGGGGCCCCAGGACACACAGATAAATACACACAACTAAAAAGATTCCCCATATTTTCCTATATTTTCTGGGTTTCTGTCTTCCCCCCCCCCACTTCCCATATTTTCCCACATTTTCCAGGGAATCGACAATGAATTGTGTCTGTGTGTTTCTTTCCCTCCTGAGACACGTATGCCAGCGCACGTGATGACCTCCACTCGGTGATGGCCACGAGCTCAGACAGGCGGACCCAGGACAAGAGAGCGTCCCTCGAGAACACGAGGCCCTCCGCCGGCCAAGACGCACGGGACACCCAAGGGTGCCCTTCCCCGGGTGCACAAGAGCATCCACGAACACGAACATGCGGGTACAGTCATCGGCCTGACCTAAGGAACGATAAATAAGGAACGAAGCCCCTGTTTTATCCCAAGGGATAACGCATAAGGAACGATAAATAAAAAATAACGCATAGGGAACTGTAAAGAACGCATGCAAACCTAAGGAACGACCGAGCCCCTTTTGAAAAGTAAGTGTTCCTTATTCAAGCCGCTCACTGTACCCTCCCCGAACCGGCCTGGATCTTCTACCTCGGTCCGACTGTATGAGGGAGGGAGGCAACCTCAATGACCATGGATGTTCCGAGGTCCGCACGGGTTTCTTGCATCGGCGCTGCATCCCCCTGCCCGACGCGCCGAGCGCGCCTGGGACGGCGCCTGGAGGCGCCGCCAAATGGGTCCAGTGCAGGGCAAAGCTGTGAGCAGTCTGCACGCCGTGCTTGCGACTGCGACGCGACTGATCCTGCTCGCACCCCTCGCGAGGCAGGGGCACGTCTGCGCAGGGGCCTCCCGAGGCCAGAACGAGATCGCACCCTCCACCGCCCCTGCCCAGGCTCGCCATCGCTCGGACGTCCATTCCCTGTGTTTTTTGTCGGTTTCATGCGTGGCGTTTTCGCCAAATGATCAAGGATGCTCCTCGATGGTCCTCGCCGAGGAAAAAACGCACACGTCCGAGCGACGCCAAGCAGGAGGCTGGACACCTTCGACGATGCGCGGGCAGAAGCGCTGGTCCACCAGCATGCCGCCGGCCTCCTTGCCGCCCTCGAGGTACTTACCGACGCCCTGGCAGGATCTCTCTGCCGCTGCCGCCGCCTCTGCCGCCGCCGCGCTGCCGAAGCAGCCCCCTCGGCGCCGCGGCGCGCCTCGGGCGGCAGCAGCGAGCTCGCCACCGCAGCAGTGGCACGTGCGCGACGCTCAAGAACGGGCCTCGCGCGAGATGGCATAGCGACCAGACGCCGCGGCTTACGCGGGCCGCTGGCGCGGCACGCTACACTGGAAGCGAGGGCGTTTCCGCGCGAGCTTGCGCGGGCAGCTTACGCGCCAGTGTCGGCACAGACGACCTCGTTTTGCTCACGTGTCCCCCCCTTCTCTCTCTCTCTCTCTCTCTCTTTCTCTTGATGGGCAATGCTAGGGGGGGCCGGCTCAGAGGGGGCGAAACCCCGAGCAGGAAGCGGCGATGCACTGGCGAGGAGCCCCCAACGGCGCATCCGCACCCTCTCTCGCTCTGCCCGCGCCTCTAGCCTGGCCACGAGTGTGCTTTCTCCGCCTCGACCCTCCTCTCCCCCAGACCCATCACGACCGGCGAAGAGTACAGTCATCGGCCTGACCTAAGGAAAGATAAATAAGGAACGAAGCCCCTTTTTATCCCAAGGAATAACGCATTAGGAACTATAACTAACAAATAACGCATAGGGAACTGTAAAGAACGCATGCAAACCAAAGGAACGACCGAGCCCCTTTTGAAAAGTAAGTGTTCCTTATTCAAGCCGCTCACTGTATCCGCCACCGCATCTGGCACGTCATTGGCGTCCACCCGCCGCCGCGACCCCCTGCCGAAAGCCAGCACCCCTACGTTGTGCTCTCTGGCTCTCGTCTCGGCCCCTGTGCGGCTCCAAGACGGTCCAAGACCGCCCCAAAACGGCTGCAAGACGCTTCGGGCCTCCAGGAAGGGCCCGGAAGGGCTCCAAGAGGGATCCGAAGACACCCGCGAGAGCCCCAGTAGAGGCCCAAGACAGCTCCAAGAGGGCTCCATGGCGGCCCAACAGCGGGCATCCAGGGATGCCAGGGCCCACTCTGCCTGAAGAAACCCGACATGCCCCCACTGCAGCCCCAGGAGGTCCCAAGATATCCCCGACGTTGCCCAAGCGGGTCCAAGACAGGCCCCCAAGAAGCCTCCAGGAGGCCGAACGCCCTCAAGGACGTGCAGGTCTTTCAATTGGTTTGGTATGCTGTATGTCCCCTTCTCATGAGCTCCCCTGCGCCCCAGCGATGGAGGCCTTCAGGAGGCCGAACGCCTTCAAGGACGTGAAAGTCTTCCAATTGGTTTGGCTTTTTGTGCGTCCCCTTCCCAAAGATGGGCCCGAGGGGGCTCCAAGAGGGGGCTCGACCGCCGCCCAGCACGCGCTCTCGGCCCCCACAAAGCCTGCAGGCAGATGCCAGCAGTGCTGCAAGACGGGCCGGCGGGAGGAGCGAGCATGTCAAAATACAGGGCAGTTTTAATACATAGGATGTTTGAACAATGGTTGTAATACATGAATAAATTTATACATGAACTCATCGTTGTGTTTAAAACTAAACCCCTGCATGTTCAATACATTATCCGCACGCGGAGCATGTTAAAAACGGCACTGCAGGGGCCCGACCACAAGAAGCCTTCCACAAGAAACCCAACCCTGAGACCCCAGGACGTCCATCGATTCTTGGTGTGGGAGCGCCGCGCTGTCCATAGGAAAACCATGGAAACCCAAGAAACCCAGGGCACCCTGGAGGCACGCAGGGTTGTTCTTGGCATGGGCCCCCACTGCAAGAACCGCTAAATGCAAGGTCTGTTCTGGGAACAAAACGAGAGCTCCAACACATGGAGCTTGCAAAGCTCTTCGGCGTAAGATAGTGTCCGAAGGAATCGGAGAGAGCCTCAAGACTGCCCAAGAGGGCGCCAAAGACGGCCCAAGAACGCGCCACGACAGTCCCAAGACGAACGGCCCCGAGACAGTTCTGCCGAGCCTCGTCGGGAGAGCTCGCTAGAAGCATCGCGCCCAGATGGTCCCAAGACCCCCAAAAGCAACCATGCAACGGCAGAACGGCTATGCTACAGCATTGTAGCGCTGCTTCCCGGAAAGCCACACGTGACCCTTTTCGGAAGAGCTCGGTATAACAATCCTACAAGCATTTGTTTGTTCGGTGCTGCGCTGGCAAGGTGGCGGGGTTTAACGCAGGCCAGCAAACAAAACAACGACAAGCGTCGCACACTAATCGGCAACCGTTCCAACGGTACGTAGTGGACTAGCCTCAGGTCCTTGGTAGTCCTTCAGATTGAGTGCTCGATGATCGAAGTACGATCGAGGGCCCCGAACCCTGATTCCTGGGCGGTTCTGGATGCTCCCAGGGCTCACTGCGGGACTTCTCGAGGCATCAAGAACTGGTGTTGAGAATCCAAACCTCCAACGCACGCACAGATGGCCCGTCTTATGGCCTTTCTTGGAAGCCTCGTGGGCCGATTGGGGGGCCCTGGAGCTCTGCTCAAGATCCCAAAGACCTCTGGGAAATACTCGACGGATGCAGACGCCCTCACCGCTGCGAGCGTCCCAGACCGCCCAGGAGGTCCCCAGCGTCGTCCTGAGAGGTCCGAGGGCCCTCAAACCCGCTGTCCGCGAGCAGCTCCCAGGAGCACGGTGGGGGAAGCCGCCCCCGGGATGCCCACGAGGCCCCCCACGAGGACCCCCCAGGAGGCCAGAGCCGACTACCTACCAGACCACCCCAACCCAACCCGAAGACCCGAATTTCGGGTTGGGGGGGGTACGGGATCCATATGTGTTTTCTCGATGTTCCCCGACCCCCCCCAACTGGAAATGGAGGGCAAATCGAGACCTTCGGGTTGGGTTGGGGTGGTTTGGTGGGTGGTGAGAGCCAGGATCGGTGAGCATCGAATCGGGAAATCGGATCGAAGCGGAACGTGCGTCGCATCGGGCCGCATCGGCACGGAGTCGGAGCCGCATCGGATCGGCTGCGCCAAGATGCACGACGCCGCGCCAGCATCGGGCCGCACTGGATCGCCGGGAGACTGGCATCGAATCAGACCGACCAGGCCGAAATCGAGATCGAGAAGGCCGAAATCGAGATCGAACTGGATCGACCGCATCGCAGTGGACCCCGGCGAGCGTCGCCAGCAGCTCCCCTCCCAAGGGGCCCCCCAGCGGCGCGCCGAGGGGAGAAGTGAGAGGGGGCGGGCCTTCCCAGAAGGCGGCGACCAGGAGAGCCCAGAGTCGAATCGATAAGTCGAATCGGCAATCGAAATTAGTTGGATCGTAGGACATCGGCAGCCGAACCGGGAAAAGTCGAATCGGCGGAAATCGGCAGACTGGTGGGCCTCCATTGAGAAATAAGAGCCCGAATCGGGATCCGAAGTCGAATCGAATCGGAATCGGAACTAATCGAAATCGAGTCGAATCGGAGGAATCGAAACGAGCCCTGGCGGCGAGGCTTCTCAGAAGCCCCCAAGCCTTCTGGCAAGAAACCTGTGGCTGCAGAGAGGGCCCAGAAAGCTTCTCAGAGGGCCAATGGCCTCCTGACCCTTCCGAGAAAGCCGCCCCCTTCTGCCTCCCCCCTGGGCGCCCCCGCGAGGACCCCGGGGGGTCCTCCTCAGGCCCGGAGTAGAGCCCCCCGAGAAAGAGCCCGCGAGAGGCCCCCGAGAGGCCCACGTCTCTGGAGAGCCCGCGGCGCGGCCCGGCCATGCTCCCGCGGGCCCTCCACAGGGAGCCTCCCCGGACGTGGCCGCGGACGTGCTGGTGGCCTCAAGCCGTCCCACGCCTCCTCCTCCTCCTCCTCCTCCTCCTCCTCCTCCTCCTCCTCCTCCTCCTCCTCCTCCTCCTCCTCCTCCTCCTCCTCCTCCTCCTCCCCCTCCTCCTCCCCCCCCCCTCCTCCCCCCTCCTCCTCCTCCTCCTCCTCCCCTCCTCCTCCTCCTCCTCCTCCTCCTCCTCCTCCTCCTCCTCCTCCTCGCTCGCGCGTGCAGCGGGCAGTCCGGCGCGTTGCAGGCCAGGCCAGCACGGCAGGGCCAGCACGGCAGGGCAAGCACGGCATGGCCAGCGCGGCAGGGCCGGCACGGCAGGGCCAGCGCGGCAGTACAGTGGCGTGCTGTCCTGGCGCATCGTCTCGGGCGCGCCAGGTTTCGTGATCTCCCTGCACGCCGCACCGTCGGGCCTCGGTGGATGAAGGCGCATGCGCCAATGCCCGCAACCTGGGCACCACGGCGAAGTGGACCACAGCCCACTGGACACCACTTGCGAACGAGACGATGAGTGCGAACCTGCAAGAACCCGACGATCGGGACCGCCGCCCAGCGCGTCTCTTCAGCTTTGGGGCCCTCTGCCGCTTGGCCGCTTGGCCGCTAGTCCTCTCCTCATTGTGCTACCTATCCCGCTCCACTCCTCATTCTTATCCTCGTCCAAATCACCACCAAAACCACAATCATCATTATCATCACCACCATCATCACCACCATCATCGCCATCACCATAATCTACACCACCACCACCAACAACAACAGCAGCAACATCATCATCATCATCATCATCATCATCATCACCATCATCAGCATCATCATCATCAGCATCATCATCAGCAGCATCATTATCATCATCAACATCATCCTCATCCTCATCCTCATCCTCATCCTCATCCTCATCCTCATCAGCATCATCATCATCATCATCATCATCATCATGATTCTCCTCATCCTCTTCCTCCTGCTCATCATCATGATTAGCATCATCATCATCATCAGCATCAGCAGCATCATCAGCATCATCATCAGCAGCATCATCAATATCAACATCATTATCACCACCACCATCATCAGCATCATCATCATCCGCAGCAGCAGCAGCATCATCATCATTATCGTCATCATCAGCAGCATCGTCATCCGCACCAACATTGCCCCTCATGGGCATCTTCATCAGCAGCATCATCATCAGAATCATCAACATTAGCATCATCAGCAGCATCATCGTCAGTATCAGCATCATCATCATTATCAGCGTCATCCTCATCATCATCATCATCATCATCATCATCATCATCATCATCATCATCATCATTATCATCCTCATCATCATCCCCATCAGATCATCATCATCAGCATCATCATCATCATCATCATCGTCATCGTCATCGTCATCATCAGCATCATCACCATCATCACCATCACCGTCGCCACCATCACCACCACCACCACCATCATCGCGATCGTCGTTGTCAGCAGCAACTAGGCACTACATGTGAAGAGTACTCCTGCAAATCAGGTTCCTGGAGAAAAAAAGAACCCCAGCGGGGGCGCCCGATATCCCAGCGTCGATTTGGCCCCGAGGGGTAGAGTTCGCGAGCGGTTCCTGAAGCAGCAGCCCTACTTCTGTCGCGTGGCGCAGGGAGGAGAAAGGATAAGTGAGAAGAGGTAGAGCAGGCAAGGAGGAGGGAGAGAGGGAGGGAGGGAGGGGAGTGAGGGGAGGGGAGGGAGGGAGAGAGAGGAGGAAAAAACCAGGAAAGAGGAACGAGGTGGGCGGCTGAGGGAATGAGAGAGGGACGAGTGGGAGAAAAAGATACGGAAACAAATAAGAGCGAGCGAAAATGAGGAAGGGGCGAGGAGCGAGGAGCGATGAGCGACAATCCAGGAGGAACATGAGAGGGCGGAGGAGAAGAAGATTACTGGGTGAGGACGAGGGGCAGGCGGGGAATAATGCGCAGCGACAGCAGCAGGAGGGTGGCGCAGGGGGGGTGAAAAGGGATGGGAAAGAGTAGGGGGAAGAGGAAGACGAGAAGGCGGCGGTGCGGAAGGAAGGAAGAACAGAGGGAGGAGAAGAGAGAGGGACAGTGAAATGATGAAGAGGCTAGAATGGCAATAAGAACAATAGCAAGAGTACCGATGGTAATAGTAGTAATAATAAGATTATTATTGGTAATAATGATGATGGCAATACTAAGATTGAGAATACGAGAAAGACTAAACATAAAAATAACAATAATAACAATCATAATAATAAATACTAATATTAAGAATAACAATGACCATAAATAACAATAACAATGACCATAATACGAATAATGATAATGATATTAATACGAATGATGACGATAATGGTGATGATGGTCATGACGGTGATGATGGTGGTGATAATGGTGATCATGGTGATGATGCTGATGCTGCTGGTGATGGTGATGATGGTGATGATGGCGGTGATGGCGATGGTGATGGTGATGATGATTGTGAGAATGGTGATGATGATGATGATGATGATGCTGATGATGCTAATGATGATGACGATGATTGATGTTGTAACCCAGCCCCAGAGGGTGCATGCCGCCCGGCTGGCAGCCCATTGGAAACCTCCCCGTTACGAATATCCACCCTGACAGGACTGCCTCCTCCGCCCTACAAAAGTGCGGGGGAGACCACCCACGAAGCGGCCGCTCCGCAAACACTCTGAGAGATCGCACGACTCACACAACGACACCAATACGCCAGGAAAGAAGATGGAAAGGCCCGAACGAGAGGAGCTTCGGTCAAGGTCCCCGTCGGGGTCCCCCTCCCCCTAACTGCTGTAGAATACACGTGCTGCACCACGCGGTACTATCCCCTGTATCGGCCTTATCCGAGCCCCAATTGCTCCTCCTCCCCAGCATCCCCATCACCTCCCCCCCTCCATAGCCCCCCCGTGGAGAAAGGAGAGCGGTGGAGGATCGGCTCTGTTCTTGCGTAACGCGGGCATCGTCTTCAGTACCCTGACCATCGCCGTCGTCATCATCATCATCATCATCATCATCAGCAGCAGCATCATCATCAGAGTCAGCATCATCATCAGACTCATCAGCATCAGCATCGGCATCAGAAGCCGCAGCAACAGCAGCATCATCATTATCATGATCAGCAGAACCAGCAGCATCATCAGCACCATAATCGTCCTGCTCATCGTAGTCATCATGATCATCAGCAGCAGCAGCATCAGCACCAGCAGCAGCAGCATCAGCCTCATGATGACCAGTCGTATCCGGATCACCATTATCATCACCACCACAACCATCATCAGCATCAGCATCATCATCATCATCATCATCATCAGCATCATCATCATCATCATCATCATCATCATCATCATCATCATAATCATCAGCATCATCAGCATCATCATCATCATCATCATCATCATCATGATCAGCATCATCATCATCATCACCATCATCATCATCATCGTCGTCGTCGTCGTCGTCGTCATCATCATCATCATCATCATCATCATCATCATCATCATCATCATCAGCATCATCATCATCACCATCATCAGCATCAGCATCATCATCATCATCATCATCATCATCATCATCATCATCATCATCATCATCATCATCATCATCATCATCAAAATCATCAGCATTACCAGTATCATCATCAGCCTCATCAGCATCAGCATCATCATCAGCAGCAGCAGCCTCACCGTCAGCATCAGCATCAGCATCAGCATCAGCAGCACCAGCATCAGCACCATCAGCACCATCAGCATCATCGGCATCATCAGCATCATCGGCATCATCATCGTCGTCAGCATCATCGTCAGCAGCATCAGCATCATCATCACCGTCATCATCAGCATCATCAGCATCATAAGCATTATCAGCATCGTCCTCGTCCTCGTTCTTCTCCTCATCATCCGCATCCTCCTCATCATCATCATCATTACATCATCGGCGTCATGCTCGTCATCATCAAAATCATGGTCATCAGCAACATCATCGATATACTAATCCTCATCACCATCCTCATCATCATCAATATCATCATCATCAGCATCAGCATCATCATCATCATCATCATCATCATCCTCACCTTTATCATAAACATCAGCAGCAGCAGCAATACCATCATCAACATCAACCTGATCATCACCATCGTCATCGTCATCACCGCCACCATCATCATCAGCATCATCATCAGCATGATCATCATCACCACCATCAATCATCAGCAACATCATCATCAGATTCATCAGCATCATCATGATCATCATCATCAGCGTCATCATCATCACCACCATCACCATCATCATCGTCACCATCAATCATCATTGTCATCATCGTCCGCCCTTCCGTTTTTCCTTCCTTCCTTCCTTCCTTACGTACTCCTCTATCCCTTGCTCCCCTCCGTACCCCCTCCGATCGAAGTGCCAGGTTTGCGGCACGCAGCTCGCCGCCGAAGTCAAACACGTCAGCAAGTGGAGTCGAGCGCGAGGTCGCGACAAGAGAGAGCGCAATGCCGCGGAGGAGGAGGAGGAGGGGGCCATGCTTCGAGGAGGCGGGGGACAAGGGGCGCGCCGCACATCGAGGAGGGGGGGGGGGCAGAGGGCGGAGGCGGAGGCGGGGGACGAGTGGCGCGCCAGAGGATCAGCAGCAGCGGCGAGGGCAGCGCCATCCTTCGAGGCCCACTCGCCAGACTTGGCTGTGCGGCCGTTGACGCAGAACTCCACAAACTCGGCTACCGTCTTCGTCTTGCAGGCAGGAGGGGGAGGAGGGGGAGGAGGAGGCGTGGGCGGAGGGACCGTGGGCGGAGGGAAAGGGAGGAGGAGGGAGAGGGGAGGAGGAGGAAGGCCGAGGGACCCGAGATCGCACCATGCACACAGGGGCAGCACAGGGGACTTGACCATGTGGCTCCAGAGCCACGCCCAGGGCGGAGCGGAGCGGAGCGGCGCCGATGTCGCCCGGAGTGCAGAGCACGGCAGCACAGAACGACATCATTTCGCAGACCAGAGCACGGCAGGAGCGCGCTCGTCCCAGACTGCTCCCGACGCACAACGATACCCATCGCTGCCCATCGCTCGGACGTCCATTCCCTGTGTTTTTTTCGGTTTCGTGCGTGGCTTTTTCGCCAAATGATCAAGGATGCTCCTCGATGGCCCTCGCCGAGGAAAAAACGCACACGTCCGAGCGATGCCAAGATCGATCAAAGCCCATGCGCGATAGTACCCCAGAGAGCGTTGCGTACCCCAGGAGATCTACGCCCCAATGGACACTGCCGGAAACGATGGGGCAGGCCAGAGAGCGCTGCATAGCGACGTTCTAGGCAGCACGGGTGTGATTCACCCATGCGACCTAGAACGTCGCATGGGTGAATCACACCAGCGCTGTTGGGCGTAAGTAGTCCAGAATGTTTATTTTCCAACCCTCTTCTGCCCTCCCATTTGGAGAGGGATTGACCCCTGCTCCTACCCCACGTCGCAACATTTCCCCCATTGCCTGTGGAGTGGCTGTGGCTGGCAACCTGGTGAACAGGATGGCGAGGCACTGGTGAAAGTCCTTGTTGGGCGGAGCCACGGATTCAGGGCGGAGGGACACCTCCTGGGACCCTTTGGAAACTCCTTTGGGGTACTTGGGGGGGCCCTGCGAAGGCTTCTGTGGGCCCTCTCGGGGCTCTCGTGCTCTGTTGAAGCTTCTTGCAGCCTGTGATACCACCCTGGGAACGTCTTGCGTCCAGCGTGGCATCAGGCACCGGTGGCTTTGCTTCGGCGGCGAGCCCCGGAGGGAAGTGAGAAGGGGCGGACCTTCTCAGAAGGCTCGGAAGTCCCCGGACCTCTTGAGAAGGTTTGTGAGCCTTCCCCGAAGACAAAAAAACTTCTCGGAAGGCGCGAGCGTTTCTGAGAAGTCCCGCCGCCTTCTGAAACGGGCTTCTCCTTCTCTGAAGGGGCCCTGGGACACACAAATAAATAGACACAAATTCGCCGGCCCAACGGGCCAGAGGCGTGCTAAGATCTCCGGTAACTGGTTAACAATTGTATTGTACTAGTTCGCGCGCGCGGGGCGGCCCCTGGGGGTCCCCCGGCGAAAAGTACCCCGCCCGCCGCCTGGCAAGGTCCCGCCCGGTTCAACTCAGAGATGGTTTTCCTTCTGGGTGCGGCCTCTCAGGCCGCCCTGAGCGCGCCAAGAGTGCCCCAAGAGGCCCCCAAGACTGCCCAAGAGGCCCCCGAGACGCCCAAAGAGCGCTCGAAGACGCCGAAGATGACCCCAAGACGGCCCAAAAGGCCCCCAAGACAGCCCAAGAGGCCTCCAAGACGCCCCAAGAGCCTTCCAAGAGGCCTCCGAAGAGAGCCCCAAGAGGCCAAAATCGTTGATTTTCATTGGTTTTTTCGATGTTTTTTGTGTTCTGGCTTTTTCGGCTTCCGGACGCTCCAAGACGGCCCAAGAGGCCCCCAAGACCGCTCCAAGACGGCCCACGAGGCTCCCAAGACGGCCCCGGAACGGCCCAGGAGGGCCCCCAAGACGGCCCAAGTGCCGCCCAAGACGGACCAAGAGGCCCCAAGACGGGCCCAAGAGGGGCTCAAGAGGGGAACCGAGAACTGAAAAATCGAGCCCTCCGCCCCAGAAGGCGCCCAGGAGGCCCCAAAAAGGCCCCAAGAGGCCCCCAAGAGGCCCCCAAGACGCCCCAAGAGGCGCCCAAGAGGCCCAAAAGAGGCCCCAAGAGGCCCCAAAACGGCCCCCAAAACTCGGCTAGCCCACAACGGTGCGACAATATGGGCCGGCGGAATGAGCGAAGCGATTAAATAACACGATTCCCAATGTTTCCCCGTATTTTCTGGGTTTTTTTGTCTTCCCCCCACTTCCCATATCTTCCCATATTCCCTGGGGAATCGACGATTCATTGTGTCTGTGTGTTTTTCTCCCCTCCTGATTCTCCCCTCCCCCCTTCGCTCGCCGCTGGCCGTTGGCTTCTCACGGCTTCCCAGCTGTCCTGGGGCCCCCGTGGGCAGCGTCGTGCCGGGGGCCTCGGGCCCGCCTCGGGCCCTCCCAGGGCCCTGCCGGGGCCCCTCCTCGGGACGCACGGCGACGTGCCGGTGCTGAGTGTCCTCCCTGGAGGCGCGCGTCCGACCCGAACAGATGGCATGTCCATCTTTGGAGGCCTCCAAAGGGGGAAGATGGTCCTAGATTTCGGTGTTGGTGGTGACATTTCGGCCACCCTGGGAGCCAGAATATTACCACCATCGCCGAGATCGGGATCTTCTTCCCTCGGTGGAGAGGCACACCGCCGAAATTGGTGTTGGTGTCAACCTCTAGGCCTGCGACATCTTGGAGAGAGCGCGCCCACAGGGCCCGAGCAAAGGGGAGGGGGGGCTAGGCTTAAGCTACCCCCCCCTCCCTTGGCGCCGCCCTGCTGGAAGCTACCCCCCTCTCCCCCCCTTTCGTGCAAAAGGGGGGGGGGGCTTGGAAGCTACCCCTCCCCTTTGGCCGCCCCGGAAGCTACCCCCCCCTACCCCCCTTTCCAAAGGGAGGGGGGTGCTTAAGCTACCGCCCCCCTCCCTTGGAGCCGCCCTGCTGGAAGCTCCCACCCCCCTCCCCCCCTTTGTGCCAAAGGGGGGGGGGGCTTGGAAGCTTGCCCCCCCCCCTTGCCCCCTTTGGCCGCCCAGCCCCCGGAGCCTCCGCCCTCCCTTTCGCCGACGATCCAAAATGAACAATCCACGATCGAGGATGGACGATCGACGATCAACGATCGACGATCGAAAATCCCAATCGAATCGCTTGCAATCGATTGCACTCCATTCCACTGCAATCCCCCTCCCCACCTCCCTCCGCTCCCTCCCCTCCCTCCCCACCCTTCGTTCCATCTACAATTACTCAATATGAATATACTTTCCCTCTTCCCCTGATGGCGTCCGGGGGATAGCCGCGCACCCTCCGCGCACTGTTTTTTTAACACAGGATGCCCGGAAAATCCCGGGAAACGACTCTCGCTGAGGCGCCGGCGTCATTTGTTCCCAAAATGCTGCTCTCGTTGAGGCGCCGGCCTCATTTCTGCTCCCGAATCGTTCCGAATCGTGCTCCCGCTGCAGCGTGGGCCTCATTTTCGGATCGGTGTTTGGCCTCCGTCGTTCAGGATGGCGTTCTCGCCCCAGCGCGGGCCTTTTTCTCGCGCGCCCATCCGCCCGCCACCACCGCGCCGCACCGCCACCACCACCACCACCACCACCACCACCACCACCACCAACACCACCACCGCCAGCCCACCACCACACCACCACCACACCACCACCACCACCACCACCACCACCACCACCACCACCACCACCACCACCACCACCACCACCACCACCACGACAACCACGCACACACGCACGCACGCACGCACGTGCACCACCACCCACTACGCACGCGCGTGCGGAGCCACAGGTCCGCTACGACACGCGTCCGCGGATAGAGAAATCAGCGCCATGGTAAGGGATGGGAGGGAGGGGTAGGACGTCAGATATGACGCGAGCGCACCTAGCTTGCCTCCCTCCCCTCCCTCTCCTCCCCTCCCTCCCTTCCGTCCTGTCCCTCCCCTGCAATCCAATCGATTGAATCGATTGCAATTCAACCGATTGCAATCCAATCGATTGCAATCCAATGGATTGCAATCGAATCGTTTGCAATCCAATGGATTGCAATCGATTGCAACGCAAGTGTATCATTCAACTCGTCCCGTGCCAACGCCCGGGAACGAAAAATTACCCTGGCGACGTACCCAACCCCTGCGCAAACGCGGGGCGCAAATAGTTAGGGACACTTTTTAAGGGAGGCGATGACGGAGCGAGGGTTACGTATGTCTGCAGACGGAATTCGGGAGACTCGCAGGACACTGGCTTCAGGACAAGGACTAAATAATGGTGATTAGTTGCAATCCCTGAGCAACCATAGCCACTTCGAAAGCGGGGATCTCAGATCGCAGCCCCCCAGAGATGGCGAGGTCTAATTTGGGTCCGCCCGTGGCGTCACTGTGTTGGGCCCCCCAGCAGGCCTCGAAAGTGGCGACAGTTTCACAGATCGCAGCCCCCCAGGGATGGCGAGGTCTAATTTGGGTCCGCCCGTGGCGTCACTGTGCTGGGCCCCCCACCAGGCCTCGAAAGTGGCGACAGTTTCACAGATCGCAGCCCCTCAGGGATGGCGAGGTCAATTTGGGTCCGCCCGTGGCGTCACTGTGCTGGGCCCCCTCGAAAGTGGCGACAGTTTCACAGATCGCAGCCCCCCAGGGATGGCGAGGTCTAATTTGGGTCCGCGCGTGGCGTCACTGTGCTGGGCCCCCCAGCAGGCCTCGAAAGTGGCGACAGTTTCACAGATCGCAGCCCCCCAGGGATGGCGAGGTCTAATTTGGGTCCGCCCGTGGCGTCACTGTGCTGGGCCCCCCAGCAGGCCTCGAAAGTGGCGACAGTTTCACAGATCGCAGCCCCCCAGGGATGGCGAGGTCAATTTGGGTCCGCCCGTGGCGTCACTGTGCTGGGCCCCCCAGCAGGCCTCGAAAGTGGCGACAGTTTCACAGATCGCAGCCCCCCAGGGATGGCGAGGTCTAATTTGGGTCCGCCCGTGGCGTCACTGTGCTGGGCCCCCCAGCAGGCCTCGAAAGTGGCGACAGTTTCACAGATCGCAGCCCCCCAGGGATGGCGAGGTCAAATTTGGGTCCGCCCGTGGCGTCACTGTGCTGGGCCCCCCAACAAGCCTCGAAAGTGGCGACAGTTTCACAGATCGC